GTTTTAGTCCTGGTTCAGTCCTGGTTTAGACCTGGTTTAGACCTGATTTAGTACTGGTTTAGACCTGGTTTAATCCTCATTTAGTTGTGTTTTAGACCTGGTTTAGTCCTGGTTTAGTCCTGTTTTAGTCCTGGTTTAGTCCTGTTTTAGTCCTGGTCTAGTTCTGGTTTAGACCTGGTTTAGTCCTGTTTTAGTCCTGTTTTAGTCCTGGTTTAGACCTGGTTTAGTCCTGGTTTAGTCCTGTTTAGACCTGGTTTAGTCCTGGTTTAGACCTGGTTTAGTCCTGGTTTAGCCCTGTTTTAGTCCTGGTCTAGTCCTGGTTTAGACCTGGTTTAGTTCTGGTTTAGTTCTGGTTTAGTCCTGGTTCAGTCCTGGTTTAGTCCTGGTTTAGACCTGGTTTAGTCCTGGTTTAGCCCTGTTTTAGTCCTGGTCTAGTCCTGGTTTAGACCTGGTTTAGTTCTGGTTTAGTTCTGGTTTAGTCCTGGTTCAGTCCTGGTTCAGTCCTGGTTTAGTCCTGGTTTAGTCCTGGTTTAGTCCTGTTTTAGTCCTGGTCTAGTCCTGGTTTAGACCTGGTTTAGTTCTGGTTTAGTTCTGGTTTAGTCCTGGTTCAGTCCTGGTTCAGTCCTGGTTTAGTCCTGGTTTAGACCTGGTTTAGTCCTGGTTTAGCCCTGTTTTAGTCCTGGTCTAGTTCTGGTTTAGACCTGGTTTAGTCCTGGTTTAGTCCTGTTTTAGTCCTGGTCTAGTTCTGGTTTAGACCTGGTTTAGTCCTGTTTTAGTCCTGTTTTAGTTCTGGTTTAGACCTGGTTTAGTCCTGTTTTAGTCCTGGTCTAGTTCTGGTTTAGACCTGGTTTAGTTCTGGTTTAGTTCTGGTTTAGTTCTGGTTTAGTTTAGTCCAGAGGTGCCATTGAAGAAAACGGTTGTTTTTTATTTTTTTTAATTTTTTTTTTTATATTGAAAAACAGATGAAGTATCGACACACAGACTGAGGTTTTTCTTCTGCCGCAGTTTTCACTTTGACTTTGAGTTTAATACGACTTCAGTCTCGTGTTATTTTAACTTTCTTCTCATAAAATTACGTCTTTAATGTTGAAATGTTACGTCTTTATTCTCGTAGCTCCAGCATCATTTATTTGTTTCATCTGAGTCTTATTTTCTGTTGTTCTTCAGACTTGGACTAAAGCTGCTTTATTTTATTTTAGAGATGTTTTTTTTTTAACCCTCCCGTTCTCCTTGGGGTCACACTGACCTGAAAAAACATTTATTTTTCCTTCTCGCTCTCTGGGAAAGAAAATAAATGTTTCTTGAGGTCAGTGTGGCCCCGAGGAGAACGGGAGGGTTTTATGACTGATGATGGGTTTTGTTCGACAGCTTCACTTTTTTATTGTTTCATCTGAACATAAAAACTGTTCCGTGTCTGAACTCGACACGACCGTGACATTTACTGATTTTTATAAAGAATAAACAGTGTTGGGGAGTAACAGATTACATGTACCGGAGTAATCAGAGTACAAATGATGAGTAACTGTATTCAGTTACAGTTACTGTTTCAGTGAGTGGTAATTGGATTACAGTTACTTTGTTGACATAAATGGATTAAACAGAGGGATTTTCCTGTTTTCACATTTTGGGCTAAACCAGAACTAAACCAGGTCTAAACCAGGTCTAAACCAGGTCTAAACCAGGTCTAAACCAGGACTAAACCAGGTCTAAAACCAGGTCTAAACCAGGACTAAACCAGGTCTAAACCAGGACTAAACCAGGTCTAAAACCAGGTTTACTAAAACACACTAAGGCCCCGTTCACACTAGTGTGTATGTGAGTGATGTTGTTGTGTACAGGGTTCGTTCACACTAGTGTGTATGTGAGTGGTGTTGTTGTGTGTACAGGGTTCGTTCACATTAGTGTGTATGTGAGTGGTGTTGTGTGTGTACAGGGTTCGTTCACACTAGTGTGTATGTGAGTGATGTTGTTGTGTGTACAGGGTTCGTTCACACTAGTGTGTATGTGAGTGGTGTTGTTGTGTGTACAGGGTTCGTTCACATTAATCTGGTGTTAAACGTCTCCAGAGTCTGAACGATCTGGAGCCTCCAGCTCCACGAGTTCATGTTGGTCCAGATGTGACGGGGACTGTGGGACTCCTGAAAACTCTGATACTCTGATGTGTGTCTGTCACCGACAAGTGCTGTATTTTCTGCACTAAAATGAGTTTGACCCTCCTGATCTAAACGATCTGCACGACAGAAACACAGAACAGACTCACCATCAGCAGAACACCCCTCTGACACAGAGAGAACACCCCTCTGTCGCAGAGAGAACACCCCTCTGTCGCAGAGAGAGAACACCCCTCTGACACACAGAGAGAGAACACCCCTCTGTCGCAGAGAGAACACCCCTCTGACACAGAGAGAACACCCCTCTGTCGCAGAGAGAACACCCTCTGACACAGAGAGAACACCCCTCTGACACAGAGAGAACACCCCTCTGTCACAGAGAGAACACCCCTCTGTCGCACAGAGAGAACACCCCTCTGTCACACAGAGAGAACACCCCTCTGTCTCTGTCACAGAGAGAGAACACCCCTCTGACACAGAGAGAACACACACCCCCTCTGTCGCAGAGAGAACACCCCTCTGACACAGAGAGAACACCCCTCTGTCACAGAGAGAACACCCCTCTGACACAGAGAGAACACCCCTCTGACACAGAGAGAACACCCCTCTGACACAGAGAGAACACCCCTCTGTCACACAGAGAGAACACCCCTCTGACACAGAGAGAACACCCCTCTGTCACTCTGTCACAGAGAGAACACCCCTCTGACACAGAGAGAACACCCCTCTGTCACAGAGAGAACACCCCTCTCTGTCACAGAGAGAACACCCCTCTGACACAGAGAGAACACCCCTCTGACACAGGGAGAACACTCATATTCCACTGAATCACTGTGTACTTTAGTCCAACACAAACTGAACCACATCAGACACAAGAAACAACTGTTTTTATCACACACATTAGTTTATGCAAATGAGTCATGTGATTTAACGTTTAGTTTGTGTAAAACAGAAACAAATGTGTCAGAGTCTGTGGAGAGAAAAGAAGCACAGACACAGAAACGACGAGTGTGACACAGGTCACTTCTGATACGATGATTCTGTGATTCGTTTCAGTATAAACGTGACTTCAGTTTAAAAGTTGAACTGAAACAAGAAGCGACAAAAAACTGAGCAGGTTTGAGGTTTGATCACAGCTTCAGTTTCATTTCTGTAAGTTTCTGGACTGGTCACATTTGTCACTACTTAAAGAGGAGGATTTATTCTGTGGGCATTAAAATATAAATGATCTTTACGTTTCTGAGGAATTCTCACAGATTTAAATCAACATGTTCCTTTTATTTTAAAATTTCTAAAACATATTCACATTTCAATTTCAAACCATTTCACTTTCATTTTTAAAGCTCTGAGTCTCCCCTCCCTGTGCTCCCTGTGCTGAGTCCCTCCCCCTTCAGAGCAGAGTCCCATCACTGCATTCTAGATATCAAATCCTGGATGGCAGAAAACTTTCTCCAGCTTAACCAGGACAAAACTGAGGTTTTAGTCATTGGTCCTGAGGCCCAGAGAGAGAAACTTTTACCCAAACTACAAACACAGTCTTTTAACCTTCTCCACAAGTGAAAAACCTGGGCGTCATTATTGACTCTGAGCTGACTTTTATCCCACACATTAAGAACATTACAAAAATTGGTTTCTATCACTTAAAAAACATAGCCAGAGTCCACCCCATTCTCTCTCTGGCCAACACAGAGACGCTGATGCTTTTATCACCAGTCGAATAGACGACTGTAATGCCCTGCTCTCTGGTCTTCCCAAAAAGAGTATTTCAGGTTTACAATTACTACAAAATTCAGCAGCACGTGTCCTGACGAGGACCAGAGGGCGGGACCACATTACACCGGTTTTAAAATCACTGCATTGGCTCCCTGTGTGTTTCAGGATTTTAAAGTTCTTTTACTGGTTTTTAAATGTCTTAATGGTCTTGGGCCTTCTTATCTTTCAGAACTGCTTTTACCCTACGAACCCTCGCGGACCCTGCGCTCCTCCGGCAGCAGCTCCTGGTCATTCCCAAAGTCAGGACACACACTCACGGAGAGGCGTCTTTTCAGTACTGTGGCCCTCGTCTATGGAACTGCAGCCGGAGGAGCTCAGGGCTGCAGAGAACGTTCATGTTTTTAAGAGTAGGCTCAAGACCCACCTTTTTAGCTTAGCTTTTGAATGAAATATCATATTTTTTACTTGTTTCTACTATACACATTTTAATTTATATTTATTTATTTTAGACTTATTTTTTAGGATTTCCAGTGTTTCCTCTGTAGGAGCCTCTGCATCAGGAGCAGAGGTCGGCTGTAGCTGTCAGGTTCTGTCCCGTGGGCTCCTGGTGGAGAGTTGGAGCTTGGGCTTCATCTCTCCCCTGGCTCCTGTGGTGGTTCCTGGTGGTGGTGGACGTCTCTCTGCTCCTGGTGTAGACGGCTCCTCTGATGATGCTTTCTCAACTGGTTCGCCTGTATTCAGCCTCACATTTTACTATGTGTCGTTTTATGTATTTTAGCAGGTTAATGTGTGTGTGTGTGTGTGTGTGTGGGTGGGTGGGTGTGTGTGTCGGGGGGGGTGTGTTTGGGTGTCTGTGATGTTTGGTTGTGTCAAGTCGGGCAGCTGTGGGGGTTGGGTTGGTGGGTGGGTGGAAATGTGGGATTGTTTTTAATCTGTGTAAAGCACTTTGTGTTACATTTTTGTATGAAAAGTGCTTTATAAATAAAGTTTGATTGATTGATTGATCACATCACGTCAGGTTTGTCCATCTGTCGCGTCACGTTTTTGTGTTTTTACGGAGAAGTGTCATGGGCGGGGCCTCGTACAGACTCGTACTGTTCACCGTAACGAGGGTTTGAAGTTTGAAAAGGTCCTGAGAGAGATCACTAGATGAACAGTGTTGGGAAGTTTACTTTTAAAATGTAATCCCCTACAGATTACAGATTACACACACCAAAATGTAGTTTGTAACAGAATCCATTAAATTACTTAAAGTGAGTAATGTAATCTGATTACTTTGGATTACTTGATTTGTTGTAGAGAAACAAAGACGAGGAAATCTTCACATAAGAAGTTTTGTCTGATAAAAGAAAATAAAAAGTCCAAACTTTACTGAACCAAATTAAAAATATTATTGATAGAAGAAGAAGAGACACGTCCACACAGCAGGATTTAGTCCTGGTTTAGACCTGTTTTAGTCCTGGTTTAGACCTGGTTTAGACCTGGTTTAGACCTGGTTTTAGACCTGTTAAATCCTGGTTTAGACCTGGTTTAGATCTGGTTTTAGACCTGGTTGAGATCTGGTTTAGATCTGGTTTTAGTCCTGGTTTTAGACCTGATTTTAGACCTGGTTTAGATCTGGTTTTAGACCTGGTTTAGTCCTGGTTTAGACCTGGTTTAGACCTGGTTTAGACCTGGTTTAGATCTGGTTTTAGACCTGGTTTTAGACCTGGTTTAGACCTGGTTTAGACCTGGTTTAGATCTGGTTTAGATCTGGTTTAGATCTGGTTTTAGACCTGGTTTTAGACCTGGTTTAGACCTGGTTTAGACCTGGTTTAGATCTGGTTTAGATCTGGTTTTAGACCTGGTTTTAGACCTGGTTTAGACCTGGTTTAGATCTGGTTTTAGATCTGGTTTAGTTTCTGGCAATGACAAAATTACTGGGGGGGGGGGGTCTAGCCCAAAATGTGAAAACAGGAAAATACCGACTTGTAATCCATTTATTTCAACAAAGTAACTGTAATCCAATTACCACTCAGTTACTCATCATTTGTACTCTGATTACTCTGGTACATGTAATCTGTTTCTCCCCGACACTGGAGATGACTCAAACATGCACGGACGACTCTCAGACCCCTTCAGGCAGGTTTTTGAGGAGGAAAGCTAAAAAATATTTAAAAACAACAAACAAAAACGACTTAACGACAAAATCCACCGTCTTTAAGTAGTGATCGGGACGAATTTTTCTGTCCGAGTCTGACACAATTAATTAAAATCACAATATTTCCACAGAGTTAATGACACTCGGGGGAGACTGTCTGTGTTCCTCTAACTCGAGTGTCTGAAGTCGTCGTGCAGGTCGTGCGGGTCGTGTTGGTCGTGCGGATCGTGCGGGTCGCGCTGGGCGTCGCTCGGGTTTCCGCGCTCGCCCGCGAACGCGCCGGTGTGAGTCTGCACGTGCCGCTGCAGGTGTTCGTTCCTCGTGAAGCCCTTGTCGCAGAACGGACAGCTGAAAGGTCGGCTCCCCGTGTGCAGCTTCCGGTGTCTGATGAGCGGCGGGTGAGTGGAGAACCGAGCCCCGCACACCGAACAGCTGAAAGGTTTCTCCCCCGAGTGCAGGGCCATGTGCGCCTGGAGATTCCCCTTCTGCGAGAACGTTTTGCTGCAGACGGAGCACCTGAAGGGTCGGTCGCCAGTGTGCACGGCCATGTGGTACTGCATCGAGCCCTTCCGAGTAAATCTCTTCCCGCAAACCGTGCAGCCGTAAGGTTTCTCCCCCGTGTGGACGACCAAGTGTCTCTTCAAGTCTTTAGAATTCCCGAAAACTTTTTTGCAGACGTCGCACTGCTTCTGCGTGCGGCCGCCCTGAGCTCGCGCGGTGCCTCCTGCGCCGTCAAACGCGCTCACGCAGACGGCTTCTTTCTCCTCGTAAAACGGATCGGGCTCCAGGTCCTCGTCCGCCGCAGGTTGCCACGTCTGAGCTTCTTCTCCGGGGTCGTTCTCGGACTCCACGGAGCGCTCCCCGTGTTCTTCCTCTAAATATTCCCGCGTCTCAAAGTTCGGTTCGGTTTTTCCGTAATCCAAGTTGTGGTTGAAGTTTTGGAGCTGATCTGTTTCCCACTGGACTCCTGCTTCGGCCGCTTCAGCTTCGTCCTCTTCTGGGTTTTCCTGCTTCAGTTTGAGGCTCTGCTCTTCCTCCTCCTTCTCCTCGTCAGCGTTTTCCTCTGAAACACAAAACACAGAAATGTCAGACACAAAGAAATGTGGAACAACGACCGGATCTATTCTGTAAAAAAGACTTTCAAATCTTTTCAGTCTGTGTGTCGTTCGTTCATTTGTTTTTCAAAATAAAACCAAAAATAAGAAAATGAAAAAACAACAGTTTTCTTCATTATTTGTCTCCAAAACCAAAATGAAAAAACGGATTTAAAAAAAACAGATAATGATTCGTTTCCCGTTTACGTGACTGCGACGCCGGAGTTTTGCACCACGTACGGACTGAACCAGGTCGGGACCAGACCGGGACCAGACGGGGACCAGGCCGGGACTGAGACCAGACCGGGACTGAGACCGAAACCAGACCGGGACCAGACCGAGACTGAGACCGAGACCAGACCGGGACCAGACCAGGACCAGACGGGGACCAGACCGGGACCAGGCCGGGACTGAGACCGGGACCGAGACCAGACAGGGACCAGGTCGGGACCAGACTGGGACTGAGACCAAGACCAGACCGGGACCAGACCGAGACTGAGACCAAGCCCAGACCGGGACCAGACCAGGACCAGACCAGGACCAGACAGAGACTGAGACCGGGACTGAGACCGGGACTGAGACCGGGACTGAGACCAGACCAGACCAGGACCAGATCGAAGGCTCAGAGCCCACAGCAGGGCTGGGGCTTGAAGCTGAGGCTTGGAGTCCGGTCTGGTCCCAGTCTGGTCCCAGTCTGGTCTGGTCCCAGTCTGGTCTGGTCCAGTCTGGTCTGGTCCCAGTCTGGTCTGGTCCCAGTCTGGTCTGGTCCTGGTCTTAGTCCCGGTCTGGTCCTGGACCTGGATCAGTCCTGGTTCAGTCCGACATCTCAGTCACTGGAGTCACGTAAACAGGAAACGGTCGTTATCTGTTTTTTCCATTTTTCATTTAAACACAAAATCGAAAACTGAAAAAACGAATCATTATCTGTTTTTTTATCTTTTTTTTTTTCATTTTAGTTTTGGAGACAAATAATGAAGAAAACAGTTGTTTTTTCATTTTCTTATTTTTGGTTTTATTTTGAAAAACAAATGAACGACACACAGATTCTTTTCTTCGTGTGATTGAACTTTCTTCTCGTCGACCCTCTGAAGTTGTGTTTCATGATTCGTGCATTTTTGAGTCAGTTTTATTCCCCTGGATTTTCCTGGAGCGTAACATCCTGAAGCCAGGTCTAAACAAGGTCTAAAACCAGGTCTAAAACCAGGTCTAAAACCAGGTCTAAAACCAGGTCTAAAACCAGGTCTAAAACCAGGTCTAAAACCAGGTCTAGAACAAAAACTAGGTCTAAAACCAGGTCTAAACCAAGACTAAACCTCGTCTAAACCGGGACTAAACTAGGACTAAATCGGGACTAAACTAGGACCAGTCTAGGTCTAAACCAGGTCTAAACCAGGTCTAAACCAGGTCTAAACCAGGTCTAAACCAGGTCTAAACCAGGTTTATGTTCAGTCTGAGAGAAGATCTCGTGCAGTTTGAATGAAACAAAACAAAACTTCAGGTCTGTGCGCGAGGAGGAAACATCAGAATAACGTGAAAGAAGAAAAGTTACACAGCGCAGCTTTAAATTCCTCACCTGCCCCGCGCCCCCGACCCCGCAGAGCCGAGTCCAGGAGCCGCTGGTTCCTTTGGTTCCTCTGGTTCCTCTGGTTCTCCTCTCTGGAGCGGCGCAGTTCTTCTTCATATTCCGCTATCGTCGTCTCCAGCAGAGCACAGATCTCGTCCGCGGCCGCAGAGAGTCTCTCCGTGACCAGAGCTCTGAGTCTGCGCCTCTTCTCACACATTTTACAACAAAACTCCACTCGCTTTTAGCTTTGGTTGTTTAGCTTTAGCTCGGAGCTGCCGGGGCGGACGCGGGAGGAGAGGATCCGCTCGGAGCCGCTGCGGCCCGCGGGTTCTTCTGGAGCAGCGGCGGAACGACACACGCGGACACGACAAGATGCAACAAAAACAGAGCGGAAAATATCTGCAAAACCTGCGAAACCTGCACAATCTGCAAACACTGAAACACTGAAACACCGCCCCGCACAGTCACGTGTCCACGGAGCCGCTGCGCCCCCGCGTGGACGGAGCAGGAACAGCGGCTGGAGGATAAACTCACGTAAAGAAGATGTTTACTCCCCTAAATAACTTCAAAGTTTCTGTTTTGTAAAGACAAAAGTATAACAAGCAGGGCTCCCAAAATTTGACAACTAGTTGCAGAGGCGGCGCGACCATTAGGTAAAAGTAAACGGCTGCTTGGCGCCCCCAAACCTGGAGGGGCCCCCAACCTATTTCCCTAATGCCCGAGGCCTCAGAGCAATTAGTTTTTCTCTCAATACGACATTAAATGAGAGTAATTTTACTTTTAAACAATAATTATAAGAAAAATAATAATAATCACATGTAATGGATGTAAACAAAAATGTTATTGAACAAAAAAAAAAATCACTTTCAGTTCTGGTTTTCTAGTCGGCAACGAACTAATAAAACAAGTTTCCAATCCACCATAATTCAAAAAAATAGAGATGTGCATGTCTCAAGAACAAAGGGGAAAAACAGACAATGAATATATAAAAACAAAATATAAGATTAAAAAAATATAAATTAAAATATATTTTAAAAAGATAAGATTAAAAATATAAATTAAAATATATAAAAAAAGATACGATTAAAAAATATAAATTAACATATATAAAAAAGATAAGATAAAAACATAAATTAAAATATATGAAAAAAAGATAAGATAAAAAATATAAATTAAAATATATTTAAAAAGATAAGATAAAAAATATAAATTAAAATATATAAAAAAAAGATAAGATAAAAAATATAAATTAAAATATATTAAAAAAGATAAGAAAAAAATATAAATTAAAATATATTTAAAAAGATAAAATAGACTTCCGGTGACGCCATGACAGGATAAGCAGCTTGATTTTTGAGCTCTGGGGAGAGACCCTTAAAACTAGCCTAAATGTAATGAACCTGCACATATTCTGCCCAGAACTGGATTGTTAAGAAAGTTTAGAATGTTTGGCCAACGAAAGGAGACAAGATCTACCAAGAAAGAAGACAGACGGGAGCAAAGTGACGAAGCGGCCTTGGACATGGATAAACTCGAAAACAATGTGGCGTCGGTGCTAGCAGAGTTAAAAGACTTCAGGAAAGAGCATATGGAGGCTTCAAACGATACTAAATCTACGTTGGCAAGGGTAGAAAACGCTCTCAAAGATGTTGTTGAAAGGACAACGGAACTTGAAGAGCAAATGTCCAACATGAAACAGAGAGTGAGCGACAACGAGGACCTGCTGCAGCGTCATAACAGAGCTATTCGCTACATGCTACAACGCGAAACCACACTGTCCGCCAAGTGTGAAGATCTCGAATCCAGATCCAGGCGCAATAACCTACGCATATACGGGATACGAGAAGGTGAAGAGAAAAACGATATGATCCGCTTTATAACCAACATGCTCCGCACTACACTGAAATTACCGGAGAAGCTGGATCTTGGCGTAGAGAGGGCGCACCGATCGTTGATCATGAAGCCGAAAGACACTGCGTCACCGAGATGTATTATTGTCCGATTTCTGGATTACAGAATGAAAGAACGAATTCTTCAAGAGGCATGGAAAAGCCGTGGAGTCTTATACCAGGGCCAGAAAGTGTTTTTTGACCACGACTACTCTGCCGCTGTACAGAAGAAACGTAAACAAGTGAGGGATGTGATCAAACAGCTCAAAGAGAAGAAAGTGAAAGCCACGTCTCCTTTCCCTGCCCAGCTAAAAATTCATATGGACACCGGAGTTAAAACGTTCCCTACACTAATGGAGGCAGCACCAGTCCTCAAGCAGATGGGAATTAACGTTAAAGTGGACGAGAGAGAAACTGTCGGGAGGAGTTACTGCGCAACACCTGGGCCACCCAAGGAGCGGGAGAAGCAACGCTGACCACCGCGGATTTGCAATTGCTCCTACGAGGTGACAAATAACTGAAGGAATTGAAAATTGAGTAGCAAAGTAGGCAAGAATTGTGCGAATTATTTGATTTATAACTGTTAACTAATTAAGGCTAGTGACACTAGGATGTAATCATTATAGTTCAATATAAGGGGTCCTTCTCCTGCTCAGAAGAAAGTGGGATGACTTTTTTGTTTGGTTATATTTACTTTACGTTGGTTTTGCGAAGGCAACCCTTTGCACAGCGTTCTGCTGTGAGACTATTGCCACTACACGGAGTGTACTATGCGGAGGATTTTCGTCACCCTCCTCCGTTACCATAGCGACCATTTTTAAGGACGCGTGTTCGGTTTGTTTAATGTTTGGAAGTCTGTTTATGTTCATGTTCAAAACTTTTGTTATAATGGGTGCAACCTGTTCTTTGAATAACATACTAATGGTGCGATCACGAAACTATAGATACATGTTGTATTGTCTTTTGTATAAGAAAGAAAATAAGATGTGCCTTAATAATTTGAAGGTATTTTCATGAGAAACCTCAGTATTCTAACATATAATGTACATGGCTGGAGTCATCCTATAAAAAGAAAAAAGATATTCAACCAGTTAAAGAAGACGCAGTGTTCCATAGCTCTAATGCAAGAAACTCATCTGAATGATTTGGAACATAAAAAACTTAAAAGAGAATGGGTAAACCAAGTATACTATTCATCATTTGGAAAGAAAAGAGGAGTAGCTATTTTGATTAACAAATCACTTATTTTTTCAAAAGAAAGTGTAATACAAGACAAATGGGGAAGATATGTGATGGTAGTTGGACGGGTTGGGGATGAGGAATTATCTATTATGAACTTATATGCTCCAAATGAATATGATGAGAACTTCTTCAAAGAAATTGCTAATATTATAGCAGAGAATGCAAAAGGTGTTATAATAGTTGGAGGAGATTTTAATGCTGTGCAGGATGGTAAACTAGACAGATCACCAGCAGAGACAGGTCCACAGACTAGGAAAACAAAAATGCTTAATAACATGATAACAGAACTTGGCTTGGAGGGATCCATGGAGACATAGGAACCAAAGTATGAAAGATTTCACATTTTTCTCCAATGTTCACAATAGCTATTCAAGGATAGATTTCTTTTGCATCTCTCAACAGCACATGCATAAAGTAATTGATTGCCATATAGAAACGATAACTCTGAGTGACCATGCACCTGTAACTTTACACCTCGATCTTTGTAAGGAGAATTTTTTCAAGTATTGGAGGCTAAATGTATCACTACTCAACAACGCAGAGGTAGTTCAAGAACTAAAACAAACTATGAGGGACTATTTAGAGACAAATGACACTGGAGATGTCACTCCACCAACTCTATGGAGCCAAAGCTGTAATTAGAGGAAAAATGATTCAAATATCATCACGGATAAAAAAGTCGCGATTAGAGGAACAAACTAACCTTGAGCAAAAAATAAAATTATTGGAAATGGAACATAAAAATACAAGTGAAAATTGCACATTGCTTAAACTGAAAGAAGCCAGAAAAGAGTTGGATACACTTCTTACATATAAAGCAGAAGGGGCATTAAGATTCTCGAGGCAAAGATATTATGAGATGGGTAATAGAGCCAGTCGCCTTCTAGCTTTTCAAATTCGTAAAGCACAAACGGACAGAATGGTACACAAAGTAACTGATCCTACAAATAAGTCTATTGTGTATCGTCCTAAAGACAGAGCCAATGCCTTTGCATCCTTTTACAAAAAACTCTATGAAGAACCGAATCCAATAAATGATGAGATTACACATCAGAGCAAATCCTTTCTCACTAATCTAAATCTACCTGCAGTGTCTGCAGAAGAAGCTGCAGGAATTATTTCAAACATAACAGAGACTGAAATTAGAGAGGCAATTAGAAAATTGAAAAACAATAAATCCCCAGGGACAGATGGACTCCCAGGGGAATTTTATAAATGTTTTATAGATACTTTGTTGCCAGTATTACTTAGGGTCTTCAACTTTACACTTACAAAGAGTGAAATGCCAGACTCATGGTCTGAAGCCATCATCTCAGTTATTCATAAAGAAGGAAGGGATGCGATGCATTGTGAAGGATATAGACCAATTAGTCTTTTGTGCAATGACTTCAAATTACTGACCAGTATTTTAGCGAAAAGGATTCAAAAACATATTAAAAAATTAATTCATCCGGACCAAACAGGTTTTATTCCAGGTCGTCATAGTGCTAATAATATAAGGAGAACCTTGAATATTATAACACAAGCGAGAAATCATAATAGCAGCTCTATGTTAATTAGTTTTGATGCACAGAAGGCTTTTGATATGGTCAATTGGCAGTTTTTATATAAGACCCTTTCAGCCATGGGCTTTCATCCAAAGTTCATGGAATGGATAAAAGTGATTTATACAAATCCGAAGTCATGTGTCAGAGTTAACGGATGCTGCTCGAAATGTTTCTATTTGAAAAGAGGAGTGCGTCAGGGTGACTGCTTGAGTCCCTTGCTGTTTGCAATTAATATTGAGCCTTTAGCAGCATTAAAGCCAAAATATCGACGTTGGTATCGAAACAGAAAAGGCTGAATCGGTGCTTTTCTACTCAGCAAAAACTGGAGGGTTAAATTTCAGAGTTGTTTTTAACCAAAAAAAGTGTTATTTTAACTATTTGAAAGTTCAAAGGAGGTCGAATTGGGGTTATTCACAGAGTTGATATGGTTGAAGTTAATTCAACTTCCCTTAGTGTTAATTTGGCTCCTCCCACCACCACTTCAAACTCCCGTGAGAGAAGACCAGTTTGAACCAGTTTTGTACAGAATTTCATCCTAAATTAACTCAAATAAAGTGTGAAAATAAAACACCTCTGTGTGTTATTTAGCTAAATCAGGTTAACCCTACAAAGTGTTACCTGTTTACTCTCAAAACGTAAATATAACTCTTGATTTCAGGGTTAAACGGAACTTTGGTCCAGTGTTACTTCATAATAACTATGAGAAAAGTTACACTGTGCAGCTTTAAAGGGATCACGGAACCTTCACTTAGAGGCTGCATGCTCAGACCAAATTA